TTCCTGCCCCGGAGACGTGAAAAGTACAGAGTTTCATCGGTCTCGTACTTCAGTTTTCAAAGTCTATTCATCTTCATTCAAATTGCAAAACCACTGTACGACTTACCGAGCAAATGAAGTCACTACAAATTTGGTGAGTTTGAAGCGAATGCTTTTAATAAATTGGAAGAGCAAAGCGGCGCGCCTTCGCCGTACGTGAAAACGGAATAAAAATATTGTTTACGAGCGCGTAAAAATGGCAACCGGTGCGGCCCGCGTTACGCTGGCGCACATGAAGACGTCGCGGGAAGAAAGGGGAACGAGGCGGATCCTCAGCTGCGACGAATCGAGAAACCTAACGCGGCGGCGTTCATGTAAAGCGAAATGAGACTGCGAGGCGTTCGCGGAAATGAACCGGAAGCAGAATCGCGTGGGACAAAGATTTCGCTCGGCTGAAATCGCGGGTTCAAATGAACCCGCGAGCGCCTCCGCCAGCCACTCGACTCGAAACGCCGAATCGGAAGCTATTCCCCCCGTCTCGTTCTCTCTGGCGTATCCGCGCGCGCGTATTCGGGATTAAATGGTACGCGTGTTTCGACTAAGGCTATATCCTAATTGGATATCGCGTGGAGACAGAATCATTACCGCATGACCGATCAACCGATGTCATGTTACGTTACGACAGAGTACGATAGTGTTTATGTTCAATTGAACGATGCAATGATGAAATTAACCCTTTGCTGACGAATGTCGACGTTTCGATAACATGAAATTTTCATGTTTGGAATACTAAGTCGCAAATAAATGATTTAATTACTCAAACAGCAAGAGGTTAACATGTAGTTTATGTTTTTTTTCTATTATCTAAGTAATTAAGATACAATTTAATTTCATCTGCTAAAGGTTTTGTATATTTCAAAAAATCTTTCTTCGCAAACGGTTAAACTTGTAACTCTATAGAACTTTTCTCTGTAACAATGAATGGTTCCGAAAAGATGGTTTTCAGATATTTATACAGTGTACATATGAGTCACTCAGAAGCCAATGTCGATTTTTCGATATTTTCTAAGTTTTGTAAACTGTAATAAATCATATTTTTTTTAGTTATTCAAGGATTTACTCGTTTCTTCGTTCTTTCTGGGTCAGCAAGTCCTGCTTCTTACAGCTTTGGATATATTGTGTAATAATTTCAGAAGTCAAAACATTAATTTTCTCAATCTTTCTTTTCTAGACTTAACCGCATTGGCTTCCCAGCGATGTATGTATGGATCGGAAATAATACGAAATATAGAAGACTAATAATCAATAAGGTTTATTATTACTATAATGGATAACGTTTAAATATAATACAGAACTATATAACAATTAAAGACAACGCACAACTCAACTAATTGCCACGAAGACCAACGCACGACTGTCCTTTAAACTCTCTTTCCAACGTTTGCACCCAAAAATCATTTCCTCCACACAATCATTCTTCACTCTCACTCTTAACAAAGTCTCCAACACATGCCTTCGAAGCTAAACTCGCAAACTTGGGTCTGCGACGTTATGCAGGCCACTTTCCCTCGATAGTTATGATTATCCTCTTTTATAGCTCTTCACTCACATTTATCCTCGCATTTATGTTCCTTAAGAATATCCTAAACCACGCTAAAATCCAGGGTACTACATTTAGCAGTAGAAGTACCGAGCATTTAATACGATTAACATGTATCGCTTAAAAAATGGTAACAATAGATTATTTTCAGTATCTTCACATATTCTTCATAGTATTCAAATGAAATTACTTATTTTCAAAATGACTTCGAATATTCGATGCTTTTGAGATACCAATAATGGCGAAAACAGAAACCCGAAATCAATCACTGTGACTGGTTCGGCAGCCCTAGTTAACAGCAGAATGCTAGTAGAATTCAACCGGTACACCTGGTAGCGACGATTTTCATTGAGCCTCTGCGATGTCACAGCGTACGGGCTGCGTTGCGCCGCGATAAAGCCGCTGTCGGTTGCTTATTCCGACACGTTTCTCCGGCAGGGAACAGCATTACTTTCGCATCAGCTGTGACCACGATTAAAAAGTTCCTGCGCGGGTGCGGGTCCCCGAAATGTTTCATCCGGAGCGAGATTTAATTGCCAGTAATGGAGAAGCGGAGCGGGCGAAGGTAAAATCGTTAGCAGTTGCGGAGAGGCGCGTTTCTCGAGTCTCTTTGCCGAATCGTTACGCGAATCCCGCAGCGTCGTGACAATCTTGTTTACAAAAATTAACACTTTGATGCACCGAGTCAGCCCAGCTGATCGACCACGGCGTCCGGCAATAAAACAATTTCGAGGCGTTTCGATGGCCTTCGAATTCCGTGGAATTCGGTACACGACAGTAGCATGTTTCGCGCGGAGTACGACGACAATCTAGTTTAACTCTAATCTTAGCTTTTGGGTCAGGTTTCAAAATAAATTTCGCCTTCACGCGATACCGTGCGAACTAACTACTTTTAATGTTTCAGACCCGCTCGGTGATAAAGATTGTATGGGAGTAATAACAATAATCAAGAATACTAGAACAAGACGCGCGAGAGCAGGCGAATATAGAAATGGTTGAAGGAAGGTGGGATGCATGAGAATCGTAGCGCGCGGATAATCGCGTATACACAGGTAACTATAGCGTAACGAACAAGGCGAGACCTAACGAACAGTACGGCAATCCCGAAAAGTAATAACAAAAACGAAAGGAAAAAGTAGAATACAATAATCTCGATTCTGTTCTCGGCTAACGAAATTGACAGGCGAAAAAGAGAACGCCACCAGAACGAGATGCGACGCGCTGCAATGCGATGCAACGCGAGGCGTGCTCGGATTTCCCGGAAAAAATTCAAAGCTTGTCGGCTTTCCAATCGGTCGTGTTGTTCGTCGGTGTGTTACAACGTCAAAATATTGTTTCGGACAAGTGGCTTTGTCGAAACATCGGCCGCGTGCCGCGACTCCGAAAATAATGCGTCGTTCGGTGTACCGTAACTCTCGTCCCTTTTGTTTTGGAAACGTTTAACTCACCGCGGACTGTGGACCACCGATCGTAAATAATCTCTCGGTGAGTCTCACGGTCCGCCGTTGAAATTCGCCGGGAAAAAAATGACCGGGAAACGCGGAATTTCACTCCGACCGTCGCGAGAAACAAATTACGACCCGCCTTCGCTTGTCGTCCTCGGTCGTGTTTCGCCGGTTCGAATATTTTTTCGATCGTTTACGGTGGCGCGGCTTCGATCCAATTCGACTTTTCAGCTTCCTTCCGTCCGGCGCGTTGCATCTGCTCTATCGTGTTTAGCGCTCGCCCGTCCGGCTTTTCATCAATCCGTGCACACGCCGCGCGTTCCCTGCCAATTACGTCGACGCCGTTTACCCCTCGAATTCTCGCCACTCGAATCGCCGCGGAAAAAGCTACGAGCGGCCTTCCTGTGCCGCGCGAACCCTCGTATTTGAAAAACGAAGCAAACTGCGCCAGTTTCGCTTCCACGCCGGTACGCACGCCAGAAAATTCCAGTTGACCACGGTGGCCCGATTTCCAGTTTCCGTTTCGATTCGCGGCTCGATTCCACCTTCGATCGAAAAGCGGCTTCTTCGGCGCTGTTCGTACCGGCTCTTCGCTAGAATTCGGCTCTCCGACGACCGCTATCGAAACTTAAACTTCGATCGACGCTCGCGAAACTCGGGGAGAAACTTTGTCCTCCTCGAGTCAAGATGGATCGTTCGCGGATTTGAAACGCTTCGGTTCTTTCCGATAGGATAAATAAGTACGATCCAATCGTTCCGATTAGCAGGAAGTACACGAACGGTCTAGATGGGCAAAAGTCAATTTCGAAAGTTTTAGGTGAACTATACAATTCTTACCGCTTGACATAGTTGAATGTTTGAGGATTAATGTACTAATAATCTTTTTCTGCATGAAGCACTCGACAAATGCAGAATCTTCCCCAGAGTTAGGCACTTCTAGACTACGTGTTTTACTCTTTAAATGCTTCGTAGCACTTTCTATATTTTGAAAATGAAAGAATCTTTGTATCGAAGTTTGTCAAGTATACAGGATGTAACATCTGGCAGTAAAAATATCATGCAATATGTGCTCTGAATTCGTTTCTATTTTTAAAACTTAAAGTGGCCTCGATTCCGCCATGAACACAAACTGTTCCTCAAATTGTTTTTACTGATACCTATTGTACATTCCATATTCTGCAACTCTACTTCAAAACTTTTTTAAAGCCCACTGCGCGACGTTTCTTCCGATCGTCTTCCGGGCCATGCGTGACTCGGCTTCCATCGACCTGTTTCCTTCAAGTTTCAAACCTTGACAGCATTGGGGCGTCCGAGATTTCAAAGACGTCTATTATTTACAGAAACGCTACGGTCCGTTGGATTAGTCTAGTCAAACTCTTTCCCCTTGCTTGTTTTCAGTGCACACGTGCCATCCAGATGTTGCTGCGAGTAAACTCGGTGGGAGGGAGTAACTCGCGCGCCTCGGTTGACAATTAACGTGCGCTCGGAATGGGAACGAACCTTCAGAAACGGCACGGACAAGGCCGAATCCGTGGTTAGACTCGTTTCAACTTCGTTAACCTCTTGCAGTACATCGCGAGTCTCACTCGTGATCACAATTTCGTTCCAAATGTCACGAGTGAGACACGTAGTCTTCCCCCAACATCGCTTTACCTTCACCCTACAACTGTCGCCCGGATTCTGTCCAGCTAAACGGTAGCACAAGGGGTTAAAGTGTACCCCGGTATCTATACGAAAGGATCGTTTCGCGCAACCGAACCAAGGGTAAAGGTATCGGATACGATTATATGCTTACCCGAGGTCGAGATAGGAGCCGAAGCCACATCCACGAGCAGAGCCACAGCCGCGGCCACAGTCACAGTCGCGGCACGCGCGCGTCGCATGCCGTACGGCGCACGCATGCTTGCCAAATAGCTGGAGAGTGGGAGGCAGAACTCGGCTCGCCTAGCGGCGGAAAAGGAGTCCGGCCCGCTAGGTTCGGTTAGTCGCAGTCACGAAGCGGCGCCGAGTACGATCGCTCGGTCGTGACCGGTCGCCTTCTTTCTACCCCTTTGTTCCGTTCTTACGCTCGGTTCGTCGACCGTCCGACCTCCTCCGCGTGATCATCCACACTTTTCAGTCTCGGCGTTCCGCTGGTGGGTGATAGTGCGCGCTGCTCTAGGAAATGGGGCGCGACGGTGAATTTTTATCGAGAGCCGGGGGACTGGGTACGTGATTCCGCGCGCTCCGCCGGTTCCTCGCTCCGTCTATAATTAACGGCGTCGCGTCGGCGGTGCGGTGCGGCGCGCGGTGCGCCGGAGAAAGCGGCTCGGCACCGCTCCGACATTCGAGGGCAGCCGACGCGTGCGAGGCGTGCGACGCGATCACCGAACGCGTCGCGTCGGACCAACGGATCCTCGCCTCGAATCGTGGCCGCGCGAACCTTGACCGTGAGACCGCGACGAGGTTCTCTCGAAACGACCTATAAACCCGGTGTATTTTCGGATTCCCCCACGGGACCGCGATGCGTTCTCGCCTCGCATCGGAATACCACCAGTGGGCGAGGAGGACGAGGAGGAGGAGGACCACCGCGATCGCAAGCAGGACCACCAACACGATCCTCGTCCCTTCCAGCGAGCGAATTCGCGTCTGAGTGCGACGCTGGATGGACCTACTCGCTCCGGTTCCTTTTGGTCTCGTTGGAATCGGTTCGGTGTTCGAAGCCTAAACGCGGCTATTGGTCCAAGGACCGAACCTCGATCTCGCCGAGATCGCGCGCGAACGGAGTATCGCCGCAGCTCCAGATCGTGTCTGCAGCGCGTGAATCCGGACTCGCGGGCGGCGCGTCCAGTGCATCGGCAGGTCAGCGGCTGCTCGGTTCATCCGCAGCGGTCACCAGTCTTCGAGCGTTCGTTAATCATGCGCGTTCGAAGAGGAGGCTGAGATCGGCGGGGGTACGAGGACGCGGCGAAGAGCCAGGCGAAAGCTACCCCGCCGAAAGCGAAGAGACAAAGGAGGGAGGGACGCTTTTAAACCGATGAGATGACAGTGTTGTGCGTGCTGTGGGCAACCTTGTCCACCGTGGCGTCGATTCTCGCCTGTTCCGGATTTTATCTGCCTTACTGGATTCAGGTGAGCGATCGTCTCCCCCCACTCACCTAGCTGGAAACGAGCCACGGGAACCGAAGGTTCGCTCTATCCCGTCGTAATCCCGGATTTTGGCTGCACCCCGCAGCGTCCGGTTTCGCGCTTCCCTCCAATTACTCGCCGTTCGTCGTCGGCACCGATGCTCGGTTTTTTCCTCCTAAGCTCCCAATAGTGGAGACGCTCGCTCGTCCCCGCGATCTCGCAACCGCGGATCGAACGATCCTTGAACCCGTCCCACCGCCGCGTCCGCTAACAACTCACGTCGTTTTACTCGAACGGGCTCGAGTGGCGACAAATAGCTTGCCGCGATAGAAACCGTGGAAATTTATTGGTCCGCGAAACGAAGGAAAGAGAGAACCGTTCCTGAAAATAATGCCCGGACCTCCCCGCGTCGCTCTCTTTATCTTTCCCTCGGCTGTTGTAACACGGAGCTCGGGTGTGTCGCGTCGATTGCGAACGACTGGCGCGAAGGGCGAACGCGCGAGCAAAAACCGCGCGAATCGCGGGCGGGCCGACGAACGAGCAAGTACGATTTCCAGGAACACGCACGCGTCACGCGTACACGCGCATACACACGCACACGCGCGCGAATACCTCGATATGTACCTCGAAGGGCGAGGAGGCGGAGAGTGCGATTTCCGGCATGATAAAATCAAATTTTCAATATCGATTGTATCGCGCCCAGCGAACCGGATATCGGTGCCGGAGTGTTTTCTAAATTAAACACGGTCATTTGGTGGGATTAATAAACAGCGGATGCAAATTGTTCTTTCGAGCGCGGCGAGGAACGAGGCGAATCTCGATTGAAACGTTTCGGATGAACGCGCGCGAGTTATTGGAATGCGAGTGGGAAAAGGCGAGCCGTGCTTGTTCGATGCTCGCCGATGCGAATCTCTCCCGCAGCTTCTGCTCGCAGTTCTATACATCGGAAATTGGAACCGCGCTGCAAGCTGCGTACCAGTCGTTCGATAACCCGACGTCGCTAATCCCATTTACGTGACGCTCGGGATCGAGAATTGGCGTTGCGAAGCCGGTTCGATCGCTCTTTCGAGCAAAGAACGCGACCGATCCATGTCCATCCGTAATCGCGCGCGATCGTTGGTCGTCGGAGGCAACGTTGAAGGAAGGTGGACGAGCGTGCACACGGTTCCGAGGTTTCTCACCGCGCTCGGGGTCGGGACGCGCGCTAAACTGCACGCCTCGGAAAAAGAAGAGAAGAAGAACGGCTATTTAAAGCAACCTCGGCTCGAGGGAGAGAAGACCGGCTTCGTGAAAGGTGCCGTTCGAAAGACTTTCACGATTTCCGATGGTTCTCGACATCGCCTCTTCGTCCTCTCGGCCGCGTGTCCGCGGAAACGCCTTGCACGAGTAGACGAACAAAGTTTGAGCAAAGACGAACAACTACGTAAACAAATCCCGACGACTGGCGTGTCGCTTTTCGCGTCCCGCGGTGAGGATATTGTATGGGAAAGCGCTCCAAACGCACAAAGGAAACTTTTCGCGGATCTCGCGAGGCGCCGTCAATTTCGAGGCATCCTTGAGTACAGCCACGGAACGAGTTCGCGTCGAACCGGTCGAAGAGCTCGAGAACTCGATCGTGAAAGCCCATCGCTGTGTCTTCGGGGAAAGGGGTAACGCCGCTGGGAAACAAAGCGTCGAAGAAACGCTGTACGCCCTGCTTCCAAGTTCGCACTCCGTTCCGCGGAATAGTGGTCTGTTTCGGTAATCCAGCCGGACAATAGTTTCAGTTGATATATAACTCGTCGAGACAGAAGAAAAGCTAGTTTCTCTTAAAGAACTATGTATAATATATGACAATAATGAAATTGTTGATAATTTTATTCAACGGACCAATTTATTTAATTCAATATAAAAATGCGAATAAAAGAATTCCAATAATTGATAGATAAATAACAAAAAATCATATTTTCTTATATATTTAAACAAAATGCTTCAGACAAAAGTTGTAAGGTATAGAGCTAAACATGTAGTAGTCATATTTTTGCAAACATTACGAGGATATTATGTAGTTTTTTCAGTGACAATAGATACTTTGCGTTTCGATGCCAACGTTATATAAATAGCGAAACGGAATTTATTTGCTCAAAATTTTTATTTTTCAATTGAAAATCATTTTGTATAGCGGGGACTACTTAGCAACATATTAGTAGCCTTCAATTTTCATTATCTGAATAGTCGAATTTCGGGGTTTCGTCCACAGGCGGCCGCATTGTGCGCCGGCTGGTTCCGGGGGAGCGATACATGCGGGCTTTCTTCGCGAGTTTCGTCAAATGTACATCGCTCGCCGACGCGGTGTGGCAGCCGGCGTAGAAGTCGGCGAGCGACAGCCGACAGCAGGCTGGAATGCCGAATTGCCGGTAGGAACGATTCGTTCCTCTCGTCGTCAATCCAGACGCGCCTGTAAAATTTTATCGTCCTTGACGAATACGTTTCGATATCAACTTCGAGACCGATTCGAGTATTCTTGGGCTTGCCGAGCTCGTCCGGAGGAAACGGAAGGGATTGCGTATCAGTAGCTTTCGCGTTCGTTCGAATGAGACGTTTCCGATACATCGATGCGACGATGCGTCGTAAAACGAAAGTAAACTCTTTACGCGCAACGGTTGAAACTGCGACGCGTTCGAATCGCGGCGAAGGAATCGGCAATTAACCCCTTGCCTTGTGATTTGCTTCTCCGTTATGGTCGATACAACCACTTTGCCTTTAACTGTTTATTGAAAAAGGAGAAAAATTCAAGACATATTCCAATCTTTGCTCGAAAGTATGATTATTGATAACAGAAGAATAATATTTAATTTCAATTCAAAAGAGTTGTGTGATATTCGAGTTGCTCAGAAGCCGATGCAGTTAAGTCGATTTATCGACATTTTCTGATTTTTGTAAATTTCAACGTAGCAAATAATATTCTTTTTAGTTATTCAAAGATTTACTCGTTTCTTCGTTTTTCTAGGTCAGAATGCCTTTATTCTTATGTCTTCTGAACATGTATAATAACTTCCGAAGTGAAAACTTTAATTTTCTCAATCTTTCTTTCCCGGACTCAACCTCATTGGCTTCTGAGCGACTCATTTATCCTTCTTAAATTTTATTTAAAATCTTCACCGCGAGCCTGACACGTTGTTGTAAGGCGAAAGGTTAATCGGGCGCGACGCGATGGTTGCGCGCTGCAAAAAGCAAACGCATCCGTTCGGCGCGGGCGTTCTCGGTAGCGATGAGATGGAAGTGTCAGAAGCTGTGAGACGAGAGTCGAGAGGATCGTGGGTCACGGGTCACGGGTCACGGTTCGTTACGAATGCGGACGGAAGAGTCGCGAGAGCCGCGGAGGAACGCTCGACGTGGAGTGGCTCGGAGATACGACCGATTCGAGTTGCCAATGAGCCGAACGTTGTTGGCACGACAACTTTTGAAACTCGAGGGAACTGTTCGACGCTAACCGAGCCGAGCGCGTAACCCTTCTCTTCCCTTTGCTTCTCTTCACTGACGCTCGAATTAGATCGCAAACGAATTTCTCCGCGCGGAATCCTACCTCGGGGAAGACGAATCCACTCGGAGAAGCGGCGCTCGTTTCGCGAATTGCTCCGGGAAACTAGCTTTCGAAAGGAACCGGGGAAATCCCGCCGACTTCCGCCGACCGATAGAAAAAGTTTGCGGAAAAACGTACTTTCCCGTCGATGCATCTGCTTCGGATCTTCCGAACTTCCGGATGAAACGTTTCAATCGGAAGCGTCCGAACGCGAAAATTCACTCGTAGAGAAGACTAGGGTTTATTCGAGTCGCGAATCGGATTGATAACTGGTCCTCCGTTACACCGATAAGGCGGTAGGATCTCAATGATATGCAATTGAGCGACTGATCGTCTAGGTAAAAGAAAACTCGAAGACGAATTTCGATTCTATGTATTCTGAAGTATAACCTAGCAATTCGAATTATCGAGTGGCAACTCAACCGAAAATTTAGACGATCCAGACCGCGGGAAACAGTTAATCTCCTCGATTCTCCGCGAGGAAGTCCGCGAAACGCGAAGTCGATGTAGCTCGGTGTATCCGCGTTTCTTTCTTTCGCGGTCGTTAAGCCGACGACGAAAGAAACGAGCGCAAAACAGCCAATGAATAACGCGAACGTCGACATCGACGTCGAGGTTCGGACGCGGACGTCCCTTCGGAGCGTACACACGCATTTATCCTGTTCGAGTGGCAAAATGCAGAGAGGAGGGCTCTGAATGGCTTTGAAAATACTCGAGTAGCGGGATGAATAAATGCATAAGGGAATTTACATTTGCTTCTCCGTGCATCGCCGCCTTGCCGCTTCGGCTAGCGACGCGTGCGACCCTCGTATACGCGTTCGAGGTCGACTTTCCGCGTATTTCGATGATCCGCGTGCTAATCTCGGAAGATCTTGAATTCGATTTCGAATCGCTCGACCGACATCGTCGGGATCAAAGGCGCGGGTTCTCGGTCGCGAAATTCGATCTCTGTAGGCAAATAATTCGGTTGATGCGGGATAAGCGATCGTTGTTCGCGAATCGAATTCCACCGGCTAAAGCTGCCGCGGGAACCTCCGGCGGAATCAACCGGAAAATACAAGCGTAGCGGGAATCTCGATGATCGGGCCGCGATTCGACGTAACCCGCGCCGACTTTCGATCGACTTTGCGTTCAATTGGCCGTTGAAAAGTTGTTGACTCGGCTCAAAGGGGGAGCCGAGGCGAAAACGCTCGGTAACGAACGCGAACGGGCTCGCCGTGAAATTAGTAGTATACTTACTTCGGGACGATGTTTAACCTCTTGCGGTCCCAAAGCCCTGCTCGGAATCCGCGAAAGAGGATCCGAAACGTTGAAACTCTCTAGCCTCTCGAGCCTGTTTCCTCTCCTGTTCCCACCAACTCTTGTTCCTGCTGCGTCCCATGCTTTGTTCTGGTCTCTCCTTGCGTAGATGTGTGTTTTGCATTTCAGGGACGACTGTTGGGAAAAGCGGACGCGTATTTTAGTTCCTTTCGGCGCTGCAACTATCCACGAATAAGGGCGCCGAACACCGCTCCCGAAATAGTTTACGAGTGCGCCAGGTATTCCAGGTACGTATACGTGGGAACAGGTGGAAACGCATCCGAGCTTCGCGAAATTAATTGTCCTCCTTTCTCCGGGATTCGCCGGCGAAACACTCACTCGCCGCGCTATCCGTTCCCACGGACTTCGAGTATCGCCTCTGTATATTTATTTACAAACAATCTCGGTTACTAATAGTTCATTGGTATCGATACCTATCATTTCCGCGTTAACCATTGGATCGAATTGAATCTAAAAATTTGTTATAGTCGTTGATTTCTTTGCACTAGGTTTGCGGACGGAGTCGTGCTAATTGAATTACGTAATTTCGTTTCGTTGTGATTTAATGACGTAGAATAGTGTTGTTACTCCAATGTATAATTTGAAGCATTCTATTAATTTAACTGTTGATTACTTTGATCATGAGTATAATTGAACTATCAACTACATGTTTCTTCCCTTAAATTTATAGTTGTTTTATAAACGCACGTAATAAACAAGTTTGTTTCTGATGACGTATTATCATGTATGAATAACATCATGTTTCCACTGCATTCGATCTTTACTTTTTCAAACCCTCACGTGGTTTCCTTTGACCTTTCGTTACCTCTCAATATCGTTTCTACCGCAGCTCATTTTTATTCATTCGGAACATACATTGCATTTTCTAATTGTATTTAAATTGTAGAAACGAATTACATTTCAATTCAATTGAATACGCGACCAGAATTACGAATTATATTAATAATAATTTAATTGCGTGAAGAAGCTGAGCTACAAATCCCGAAATAATTATATACTACGTAATGGAATTACTTATTCGTAGTTGAGCTACGAATACCGAAATAATTTTATACGATGTAATTGAATTCCTTTGTAATTATAATTCATGAAGTAATCATAATTTATATAATTATATCTAAACTCTTAGAATTTCATAAACACTGTTTGATGAATGTTTACCATTTATCTTTGAATCTCTAATCTTCAAAATCCAAACGAACGAACATCGACGTTTCTAGGTGCAATACGATAAACTATACAATAAATGTCCGTAAACCTAGCGTTGACCATTGTCGCTTCTCACAAATTCAACAAAACTCGTTCGAACGTCACGGAGGAAACTCGTAGATGAAACGCTTTTGGCGGACAGGGGCCGAACGCAAGTTTGATCGTTCCCATCGATTCCCAACTTCGCAATCTAAATTATGCAGCAGCTTCGATGTACGATAACGTTGACAGAGCACGTGAAGTTAAGATTATCTAGTATTTTGTCGCCGCTTCGGAACCGCGCGATATAAATTCACCGGGTCTGGTTGGGAAACAGCACAGGCGGCGTCGCGTTCTCGTTCATAAGGCGCCACTCTCGGACGTAACGAGGCCAGGAAAACTTAAAGCCACTGTACTCCGAACACAAGAAGTTTGCACGCTCGCGCTTATCGAGATATTACAAATTTCGGAACGTCGCGCTCCAGTGCTCCGTTCGCGAAGTAGATCGTCGATCAATCAACAAATGTCGGCCTATGTCAACGTTTAAATAATTTCGAGGATCTAACAGTTTCACGAATACGGCATGGCAATCCATTATCACTCTTATTCACGAACGTTTAAATAATAACAGAGAAATCCTACATTGCAGCTTTTGCTTCTTTGTTTCTCTTTGTTCTCACTGGAAACGATGCTGGTGCTACTACGGTCGGTTCGAGCGAGTATCATTTTAGCGAGCACGGTGAACGTTGAATGGCATTTTCGCGTGAAATCCGACAACGAATCTATGTGAAACAATGGGAAACGATGTTAACGTTTAGGAAATGTTCCCCCTTTAGCTGTGGGCAAGCCGAACTCGATGTAATTTTCGCGCGTTCGGTTGTTCCGGTGCAAAGTTGAGTGGATAAGCTGAATCGTTGCTTGTTTCAAGGTTGGTTAATCGCGTTGCGAAAAGAAGATGTATAAGTGAGATCGGCGAAACTCAGTGGGAAACGGAGATCGTTGCATTAACTGAAAGAGTAACTGTACTTCTAGCAATCTCGTCATTCGATATTTTCATTGGCAAACACGGTTTCGCACTAGGCGGCACGCCGCGCCGCGGGGATCAACGGAGTTCCGGCGACTCTTGAAGCGACGCTAGGCAATGGAACCTTCTTCTCGCCGGTAATAGACCGGTAATGGCTTTGTATCGGCGGGCGCGAAGTTCTCCGCTGTCGCGGGTCACCGTCGAAAACGAACCGCCGAGACACAGGATGAATTAACGTTTGCAAACTTTCGATTCGAGCGGTTGGACGATTCGCGAGCGCACAGTTCGAAACGCTCGTTTTTTCCCGTCCGTTCGAATTTTCTGGTTGAAGCTCGTTAATTAAAAGTAGTTTGGAGTTGTTTCCGCGATGTCGGATCACTTTTTTCCGCGAACTATGTGCGTCCGTATGTACGATATGTATGTACGTATTCGCCGGCTCGTTGCAGCTCCACCGATTTGCTCCCAGCACACGGCGCATTTGGCTAACTTTAATGGAATGCACAGCAACGAATACCGCGGAAACGAAAATGCAAACGAAAATGCAAATGAAGAGGAAGACGAAAAGGAAAACGGCCTTTGTGCGGGCGAGATTGCGAGACGTTCCTCAAGGCCGCGCGAAAATCCGAACTCTGGCCTACTTTCCGACGGCACACAATAACGGCCTATGCACACGAGCGAGGCGATCTCGCGGCGGTGACGCTGGCAATTTTATATACGTGCACCTATACACGGAGCAAATTTCATCTTACGAAAGATACACAGTTAAAGCAAACAGAAATATATATATATTTGTCATCCTTGTTGCGACCCGTTGCGATCATGCAGCGACCGTTGTGACGTTTGCGGTTTGGTAAATGACAGATCATTGTCACGCCGTTTCGTCAATCGCAACGGATCGCGACGAGGATGACAAATATGTGAGTCGCTCAGAAATCAATGCGGTTAACTCCATTTTTTGATGTTTTCTGATTCCTGTAAATTCTCGTGGAATAAATAATATTCTTGTTAGTTACTAAAGGATTTACTCGTTTCTAGATCAAAA